TCTTTCAACATGAGTGAAAACACATGTCGGGTGATTTATTTCATTTTGAAGGGGGGGTCAAGCATGGGGAGCGGCGGCGACTGTCTCTTCACCCCAGCCAGGTCAGCACCGTTGTTATTTGTTTCTTTTTTCGTTTTGTCATGTAAGATTTTTTTCTCCTCGTAAGGGGAGAAAAAAATGTGGAATTAAGAAGATCTGTTATCTTGTCCATGTTTTTTTCTTTTTTATTTGAATAAATCTGAGGAAGATTGTGTTTTGTTCAATGAATTCAAAAAAGAACACTTTTATCAACATTAAATCAACATTAGGGGGGGGGTCGTGCCGAGACCTCGATTTTAGGGGGGGGGTCGTACCTCTGCGACCACGTCCTCGACACGATTTTCACCCTGCTGCCCAGTGACCTGTGGAACGACTTGCTTATCAACTTATCCAGCGTAACTCGCTTAGACTTCTGATACTTCGCTGACAGAGTAAGAATTACCAAGTTTCTAGTTGTGCACAATTCCGCCATAAAGCGGGCCCTCCGATCTCAATAAGTGCCAAAACTGTGGTAGTGACTTTGACTACGGAAGTGGGACACATGTGTACCACCAGTAGTCAAAGATTAACTTACGCAGGATGACTCGCTTTAGCTTCTGACGATTAATTGTCATAGTAAGAATTAGAAAGCTTCTATATGTGCACAATTCAGCCATCAAATGAGCGCTCCTGCCTCAATATTCCTGAAACTGTGGTAGTGTCTTTGACTACGAAGTGGGACACATGTGTCCCACCAGTAGTCAAAGGGTTAAACCTTGGTAACTCTCACTGTTACAAAGTGAAAAGCCAGCCGCCAACTAAATCCACACTCCTTCATATAAAAGTCATATCTTCCTTTAAAGTGGATCTGTGGGAAATGAAGAAGAGATTCTAAAAAAGTTAAAGCGATATTGAGAAGTGTTAGGGAGTCATTTCTTTCTGAAACATTGTTGAAACTGTGTTAAAACTGTTGTCAAAACCGGTGTTTAATCACTCAAAAAATCGCCTGCTGCACGTTTTGTGCGCATGCAAGGCTGGTAATTACTCTACCAGAATCAACTTCTTTCCACTCTCTGTCGCTACAAAAAAACTACGAGATCAAAAGTTTCGAAAAATTTCTAAAATTTTCTGAATAATAATTTTTCTGAACTTTCGGAAATTAGTCTTGCTGGGTTTTTTATTCTATGATTTTTGTGATAATTTTTTTTTCGAAAGCGAGTTTTCAATCTCTGAGCGTCCATGTTTCTTCAATATCGTTTTTACAAAACGCGGTAGGATCCATTGTAAAAGGCGTACTTCCTGCTTCACGAAATTTGACACCTGAAAATTTCTTGAAAATCTTTCTTTCGCCAGACTTTCTAATATGGGATTCTCTATATGAATAGGTCCGCCGAACTCATTGCACTTTCCTCCACCTCAATGAAATATGAACGACCCTTCTGGAATGCGCCAGGAACTCGTTCAGGGTCTGTAGTCGCTATACGTTTGAATCCGCTGTAGCGATTTCAAAATCGCAGTTGTTCTAGTAGAAACATATGTCTCGCCATTCGAGATTTGTATTCAGTTATTATAATATTTTTTACCTACACGTTCATGTCAGTAAAAAGAAATCAAAAATCAAACAACGCTGACATTTTCGTATGGCTTGTAAAACTTCTACTGAGCCAAAGCATATTCGACCATTCTACGAACACGTCGTTTATAATTATGTTAATATATGTTCTATAGAATGAACACGAAAAACTTAGGAAAAAGTTGGGCATGCGCTGAAGAACTGAATGTAATGATCGTGGCACACATAGTTGCCACAACGTCCGACGTGGCCTGCAAAAAGTGACATACTGTTCATATCTGACCGTCCGATCACCGGTTTTATGGACTCGATGCGGTGATCCGCCTTGATAGAAGTCGCGCGGATAAGCAGCTTCCAACATACTTCGCTGGGGTGTGCGACATATGGTGCGATCGCATTGGCATTCATCCTGCTGTGGCCGGACAACTCGTCCGCGCAACACATTCTGTTCCGTTCCTCTTGCCTTGGCATCAGGCCAGCGAAGCTATCCGCTCTTTTTTTAGATCTTTGGGACTCAGCGAGATTTTTGAGACCCAAATTATCAGATCGATCAATTAAGTCTAGTAGTTGAGTGATACGGACGAGTTGTCCGGCCGCAGCAGGATGGGGCAATTGCGGCCTGTGCGCTCTAATGCCAATGGGATCGCGCCATATGACCGTCCTCCTCATCGCTGGGAATCAGCAGGCAATCGAGAAGCAGCTTATCCACGCAACTTCTGTCAAGTGCTGCAGCCGCCACATCATTTCCGGTGACACGCGTGATCAGACTTCGACATACAGATTGAGTGTAACCTCCCCTTCAAAAAGCGAGAAAGTGTCGGGTGCAGACCAAACACCACAACTGACGACGGCCTCCAAGTAAATCTGGTTAGAAGTTGTTCATAGTGATAGCTGATTTCTGGTAAATGATAGTTGTAATTAGTGACAATCGATAGAATACAACTGCAACAGGCTAATCATTTCATTGGCAGAAAACATTAACATTTTGTGAAGGCCGTCGTCACTTGTGGTGCATGGTCTGCACCCGACACTTTCTCGCTTTTTGAAGGGGAGGGTAGGTACGATAGAGGCTTTGGCTTCGTAATAAGCATGCTGTGTTTAGTGCCAGTCCCCCACCAACAGTGACTGTCTGTCCCAACAAAATATACAGGGGGGGGGGGGGGGCAAAAAAAAAAGACATTTTGCCTATGTCGGACTTCGGCTCTTTTTTCTTCGCAGAGATTGCTGTCGTTGACGGGAGTTCCTCAGCAGAGTATTCCCTAAGTGTTCCTCTATTAGTGTACGCAGGCTCTCCTTCACTGCCCTCACCGTCTTCAGAATATGACGTCATCTGTCACCGTCGTCAGGCTCAAGGAGGTCTACCGTAAGAGCTTCAGCCTGAAGCTCTTACGCAATTTCGTGAATCGATTTAATGTTGGATAGTTTTCTAGAGGCATTAGCTACCACTGTGCAAATCCCCTCGGAACTAGCTTTCCAGTAAGGGTCGTTATGGTACACGATCCTTCGAAGACCCCATTGAGATCGAGACCAGGACCATCGTCCATCGGGCTAATTCCTTCCGGAGATCCCGCTCCCGATACGTGGCCCCTTCATGAAGATTTCTTATAGACGATCGAATCGCCACTCATTTAATACTAAGCTTGGATCGTTCCGATCTGACGCTTAACGTAGAATTGTGCCTGTAAATTAATAACATGCCATGCCTGGAAAAGTGGAGGCAAAATGTCGTTTCGGTTTTTCAGTTTTATGCCCCCCCCCCCTGTACGTGTTTGTCTGCACACTTATTGCCTAGTCGTGTGCAGCTTTCGTAGACTATCAGCTTTGTCACCTAAGTTACAAACTATCAGTTTACCGATTAGCAGCTAAACACTAGTTAAATCCAAAATTCCTTTTCCCACCTTTTCTCCCTCCCCCATAGACACCTCCTGTCGAGAATCTAATGGAGCTTCTTTTAAATTCGTTAGAGGCTCATTAAGAATTTGGCTTGTCCATATATTTGAGGGAATGGGTCCAGTAAGGAAGGGGGAGACAGTTCAATGAGCCTAATGTTATTCACATTACATCCATCTTCAAATCAATCGTTTCACCAGCGGTAACTTCCTACGACTGGTGGGTGAAAGGAAAGTAATAATGCGTTACGCGGCCAGAGATCCACTAATATCGCGTTAGCTTTTTGAAAAATTTTTTACGACCACACTTTCTCCCAAGGTACCTTTTCTTTCCACACATACGACCAAGCCATACCTCGTCCTCTATGGTATTATTTCCGATACCACTCCAACACCAAACTGCCGCCCAGCCTTTTTCCCCACTTCTTTCCTCCCCAAAAATGCCAACCTCGAAACTGCCGCCGTTATTAAGCTCCTCAACTTTTACCCATCATATTCCCCCTAGCTCCCCATTTTCCAGGAGCGGCAATCTCACACCGCCTTACCTACCCTGAATCGAAACAGCGTTCAGTTTCCCCGTCAAATTCAACCGATTGTGCCTTCGAACCGCGATCGAAAACGGGTACGGATGCCATCCCCTGTCACATACAACCTCAACCACGAATACGTACCCCGCGGCCCCACTACAACTCACCAAGTACTGGGTACTACCGCCCCCCGTTGTATAGCAACGTAGGGTTGACCCTGGTTCACGCTCTACGGAAATCTTCTCCCAGTGGACTCCAGCAAATGCCGCTCTACACTGCCTTTCTTCTTACTTTTTTATTTTATGTTTCCGGCCAGGAGTCCTTGTTGATCACATCCCCGTATACCTTATATATTTGTCACACTTCAGGACAGACCCACCCTCGGCCCCCTAGGTCGGCGCCTCGAGATCGCAATTACAGCTGGATTACAGCCGGCGGATTTAATACGACGACCGCTGGCCCGCTTCGAGCCCCACACGCAAGCGAATCGCGCAACAAGTGTGACACCTACTCAAGCTTCCAATTCTGACTTCTAACCGGCATGCTTAAGGTACTCCCTTTTGCTGAATCTCCACAATACCAGTTTACCCATCGTCTCATCATCACTCAAATGCATCATGGATCGTAAGCATTCAGTTTTTAATATTTATTAATTATATCAATAATTTAGATAATTAATACAAGAGGGTGCACAAGTTACTATGGGTCTCATCGGTGACAAACGAGTCGAATATACAATTAAATTAAAAGTCGTCGATATATGTTCAATCACAATAGAGGTATATGATTCTCAGTCGACGTACGAAATTACATAAATAAAAGATATAAAATTAACAATAAAGTTACTATATACATCACTTTATCTCCTCTATAAGAACTGCTGCATGTGGTACGGCATGTGGAAGTTTTGCGTTTGAGGGGGTACCTGAACAGATTGTTTAGAAATTTATAGCACAAGGCCAAAAAGTAAGCAACCCACTCCTTGGAGCATGGCGTGTTGCGTGTCAACAATCTTTGCCAGCACTCTCCATGCAGACTTCAAAGCGTTATGGCCGAATCCGTGGGTGAGCTGAAAAGATCATCTTCCTTCTAGGGTAAGACTCACGTCAGGATTCAGTGGATGAGTTTGATCATTTCCAGTGGTCCTTCTAACTCTTACCATACTAAAGATGTTAATCGAATGTGTAGCCGAATTCTTCTCCACGTAATCCTCTGGGTCTTCTGGTACTTCGTCGAATATTGCCATTATTCCAGCCAAGTAACGCCTGAAATGATTTCTTCAGTACATCTTCATTAGGGCAAAAACATTCTACTCATACCTGACTATTGCCAGCTCCTGTGGCGTGTACTGGAGTCGGTTGGAGTGCCGTGCAATCTCGAAGGTGTTCAGACTGTTGTGGCAGAGATTATTGAAATCGCGAGCCATCACAAGAGCTTCTCCTGAAAGAAGGGCGATCACCATTTGGACAGTAAAAATTCTCCATGGAAATTGTCAACTCACTTTCACAAAGTGCTGTGAACGACGTCGTTGGTGCGGTCTTTCTTCGTCCTGAGGGAAGTGATACTCCTTTCTCTGCCAGTCTATCACGTAACATTTTGCAACCGTCCTTCGTTTTCGCCCTGAAACAAACAAAATTAAACGTTTTAACAAGATTAATGTTTAAATTATACTCAAATCAGCTACAGTAACCCACTTTCTGAGAACACCGTTGATGAGACTGGCGTGTAGAGTTTCCGGATGGCTCATGCGACGGTGAATTTCGCTCAGTGTCACCTAAAAAGCAGCTGATTAATCTGTTAAACACTGTATATGAGAACGCGCCTGTTACTTGAATCCGACTGAAATCACCTACATCCCGATAAATATGCCCATTTAGCAAACATTTTTTCTATTATTCTTGGCTAAGTTCCAAACTTATACCTTATACTTTGTGGACGCATTCAAAAGACATAACCGTCCTGGTGCTTCATCGAATACTTCCAGATTTACATGACGTAGTCGTGTTGCCTTCGTAACAATTCAAATTAAAAAACCCTTTTCCAATAATATCATCCAAAACTGACTCACCTGGCCTTGGAGGTATATTTGCTTGTTGCTTTCAAAAATCGAATCATTTCTCGATTCGTCCTGAAAGTTATCGATTATTTTATGGACAAAAACTGATTCCAATTACACTTAATTGCTTACTGAAAGTATTCCACTGTCAGAGGACATCGAATTTTGTTCCATCTATGAAACCAGACTTGATGTTTGAAAGAAATTTGGATAGAACTGCATCTGAAATATATTTTTGAGGAAGGATGTAAGCATGAACGGCTGATCTTAAGTTTTATGATGTCAACATTGAGACAGATAATTATCGAGTCCTACCTGTGAGGCCATGTTGGGATTGAAGAACTCTCGTTGACCCGCCATTAGCGGTGTGCTCTGGTACATCGGCGGAACCTGAAGAAAAAATGTTTTTATTAGTAAATGGCCCTAGATAAAATGATGGTATGGTTCAATAAACCCACCATTGCCAACTCTGGAGAGCAGTTCTCTTTATTTCTGTTATCCATCCGCTTCGCAGGGTCTACATTAGGATTCATGTCATCATTTGGTCTCTTCCTAGACCGCATCTAGACATATCGAATGCTTTTCAGATATTTTAGAAGTCAAGATTGATGCTCGAATTATGATACTCATATCACTCTTTCGTCAAGCGTGATGGCAATAACAAATAAAACTAATTTTGGAAATCTAAAAACTATGCATCAAAGCTAGACATGGAAGGCACTATCCGAAAAAATGTATGAATAAAAGTATTACCTGATTTGCTAGCAGCTGCTCTGCATGTAACTCCTGACCGAACTGCAGTTGTTGCTCAGCAAACATCTACAACGCAAATCAGTTGCATGATATTTATCCAAAAAGCTGCAGGAGAAAACAAAAAAAGGAGATGATGATGATCAAAAATAAGGAACTCTGGATCACGACTCAAACGGATCTCGTTCAAACAGCGGATATGATAGGAATGAACTTTCCGAGCACCTACTTATACGAGGTCATCCTCCATATCTTGACTCCACCCTCGTTTAATTGGCGCCATTACTGGCACATCCTCGCCCATGGTCCTAGGGCAGGTCTTCCAGTGCGAAGTTGTCCTTCGGGTATGATGTGACCGCTTGCCGCCGAATCAGAAACGCGTGTGTCAGGATATTCCCTTGGCAATTAGACATAGGTCAATATTGGAGGTCACCAGTATAATTGACATCTAAATATGTCTGAAGTACATCAAATGAAGATTGCCGTACAAAGGAGCAACACTTACAATTAAAAAGAGAAACCATTATAAACAATTGAACGGTTTAAATCTCGGAATAAATCAACGGTTGAAATCAGTTTTGAATCTTTTTATTTCAGTTTGAGCCTGTGTTTCATGAACTGACTGAAAACTGAACTGGTCATATGCTACGATGAGATAAAATGAATCAAGGTTTCGGCAAGGAAAACCGAACCCCTCTGTTCGATGAAATGTTTCCTAGCCAAAAAGTTTTGCTTTTAACTCAGATTAACTATTCAGTTTGAACCACGAAAATCTAAACCTAAGCCTTGGAAACCCAAGGGAATAAAATGTGACAGAAATAAAAAGATTCAAAACGAGATTTCAACCGTTGAAATTTGCAGCTGTGCACCTGCAAAATGCTAGAAAAGTGTTTTTGTTATGACTCCCTCATCACCAAGAGCAAAAACCTCGAGCTTAATCGTGTAATAGCAAAAGTTTGTTTCTGCTGTAGTATTGAAGACTGAAATCTAAATTAAATTCCATGATGAAGATAAACCCACTTGTTACTTGAAGATATCTTCGTTTATCGACCAATAGCAACGTCATCCTCCATTGAACTTGCTCGTATTTCAAATTTTTCTATTAAGATTTGTGATCAAAGTCTCAGTCTGAAAAATAATATGTGGTTAAGTCTATTTCTAGTCCTATCACTAAGTTT